CCGGGACAACTTCTTTATGTTTACAGACGTGATGTAATGACGCAGTGCCATGCTCGAATTTCCCACTAAAACCTACCCGTACCACTCAAATGATAAAACATTATTATAAGCTGACTGTTATGAATCGGACTAAAGGAAGGCGATAGTTTTGATCATTGGCTGGTCATGTACTTGCTCAAACATTGATTTCGGATCATTTTTAACCAAAAAAAGTTACGGACTGCAGCTTTAAAAAACGACTTGATGTTAGCATTTTAACTATTGGTAGTGTCGGAGAGGTCTGATCCCACTTAAAGATTTGCAGAGAAAAACAAAACAAATTACAAACTGTAATTACTGTAAATTAATGAAACATGGACAGTGGCCATAAATTAATAAGTCGTAGGAACGAATTAACAAGTTGATGGAATGAATCCTTCCCCCGCAGTGTCCCGCAGCCCTGCAACCTTCACCTAATTGTTTCAAATATGAAACAACTATCTGGGGAAATGACTGTTACTACATTTCTATTGCATTCCATGTGGAAGAACTTTGTGTTGTTTCTATTTTAATGTACTTTTAAAGTTTAAATCACATTAAAAGCTTCATTTGTAATTATGAGTGAATGATGATGCATTTATATCCCGTCACTCACAGCCGCTCGCACGTGTTTTGCGCATGAGCCGCACGCAGCCCAAAATTAAACGGCTTAATCGACCATCGATAGCTTTAATCGATTGCATCTCTTATCGACAATTAATCGATCATCGATTAATCGTTGACATCCCTAGTACATATACAACTCGTGTTACTCACTTCTGTGCCTCTGCGAGCTGCTGCATCTTGTAGGCTTCAGCCTCAGCTGGTCTCTTCACGATGGCGATCAGCTCTTTTTCTGTCCTCAGGATCTCCTTTTCCTCAATGGTGATCTGCTTTTTCCTTTGAACCACCTCGATCTCAATCTCCTCCAGTCTGATCTTCTGCTGCTCCTTGGCTGCCTGAAGCTCATAGGCCAATTGCGCCTCAGCTTTCTGAGATAGGTGAAAGGAAAAAACAATTATATTTGTTGTGTTTAAGTGTCACATATTTGATTGATCAGTGCAACTGCAGTATTAAAATAACCAGAGGAATAATCAGCTCTACCTTTGTGTTCACTTCTTGATTGAAGGCAGCCTTCTGCATCTCCAGCTCTCTCTTTGAGTCTGCCATTCTTGTATCGGCTTGGAATTTCACATCCATCATCTCCTTCTTACATTCTGCTTCCTAAAACAAGGGAATAAGGAATGTGAGAAAAAACTAGTTCCACACCACTTGCTTTTGCACATTTTCCACATATTCTCTCCTGCACTTTTTTTTTAATCTTTAGATTAGAATACAATTAGCTGCCCTAAGATTTTTGGTGTCAAAATGTTTGACAGTCTGTTGAATTCATACTTTAGCAACTGTAGTAAAAACTAATTTAAATGACAAGTTCATTTTAATTACCAAAAAAACGAATCAACATTTGGTCTTAAACTAGCCAGCCCTGTAATGAGTGAAATCTTAATTTTGGTTTAAGTACTTTTATCTAAATGTTGTCATTCAATTTTTAATGTTTATTTCATGTTTATGACAATAATACTGTACATATTATTATATACTGTACACTATTGTTACGTATATACTGTACACTATTGTTTAAAAGTTTGGGGTTGGTAAGATTAATGTTTTTGAAAAAGTCTCTTATTTTTACCAAGTGCATTTATTTGTTCAAAAATTCAGTAAATTAGTAATACTGTAAACTATTATTACAATTTAAAATAAGTGTTTCCTATTGCAATATATTTTAAAATGTCATTTATTGCTGTGATAGCAAAGCTGAATTTTCATTAGCCATCACATGTCCCTTCAGAAATCATTCTAACATGCTGATTTGGTGCTCAAGAAACATTTATTATTATTAAAAATGCAGAAAACCGCTGTGCTGCTTAACATTTTTGTGGAAACAGTGATGCATTTTTTTTAAATACAAAAAATACAAACTTCAAAAGAACAGCATTTATTTCTTATGGAAATCTTTTTTAACAATGCAAGCCTTTACTTTTCAAGATATGTTTTTATTTTCTCAGATATGTCCAAAATGATTCTGATCTGAATTATTATCTGAAATATTTTGACATCCTGACCATTTCTCTCTAAAGGTTTTTTTTTTTTTAAACTACATATTTCAATTTTCCAAGAGCTATTTTGGACTACCGTCATGGAAAGTGACTCCTTTATTTCTTCAGCTCACCCTGATTCCAGCATCTCTCTCTGCTTCAGCCACGCCAATGTCAGCATCTCTCTGAACAGCAGCAGTCTGGGATTTCCCCAAGGAGCTCAAATAGTCCACCTTATCATAGACATCCTGATGGGAGAAAACAGAGAACAATTTCACCCTGACAACTGTAATGGTTTTGAAAGACAATGACTGATTGTTGAAAACCAAAATTTAAAAGCAAAGTAAAACAGAAACTCTATCCATGTGTATCCATGTACCAATTTAAGCACACCTTAATAGTAAAGCTTAGGATCTCAATGCCCATCCTGCCCACATCGGGTGCCGCCACCTCCCTCACCAGCTTGGCAAACTGATCCCTATCCTGGTAGATCTGCTCCACCGTCAGAGTCCCTGTAAACACAAGCAAATGAGGTTAGTGGGACATGAAAGACATGATGTTCCCTTGTTTTCATGCTCCTCATCCGGCCAAAGTCTGCCATTATAAAGGATGTATCAATTTTCTAAATGCATTGCTAGAGCAGAGGAAGCTTTTAACCACATAATGTCCCTAACCTTGACTGATCTGTTGATAAGAGTGGCTGCTGGTCATATTGCTTATCTGGCAAGAACTTAGACCTAACACCACCTGTGCACACTGTCTGAACTCTTCACAGTGAAGTTAAGAGCACGCTATTGAAGACGAGTGTCCAGCGTCACTCACCCAGAATAGAGCGCAGGTGACCTTCCAGCGTCTGCAGAATGACACTTTTAATCTCTGCCACTGTCTTGCCCAGGAACTGTTCACAGGCATAACCCAGCAGCTCATTGTCAGTCATGACCTTCACCTAGTAGCAGAACACATATAGTCATGGTCCATGACACAAAATGGATCACAGCATGCCACTGAAACCTACAACTCCATACAATGCACTCCACATAGACAGTAGAACAGTCAGCTGATGTACACATTTATGGTTATGAATAGCTATAATATAGCAAAAATGTTTCAGAGACACACTCAGAATCTTCTAGCATCTTAAAAGTTTTCTTATACATAATATTTGATCAACTTACAGTTTGACATTTGTAAAAGAATATTTCCAGGTGTGAGGGACAGACATTCAGCACAACCAAATCGGCTGGATGTTGTAATGTTGGGTATAACTGAGGTTGTGGTTGATTGAGGGACATGCTTCAGTCAGTATTCATGCGACTCTGAATTTACATGCAAAAGCTTGCAAATCAGTATGTAAAAGGATCATGTGTTTATTGTGTTGATAAACAGAATATGAAATAAAATATTTAAGAAGTCCAAATGTCTCATTACATTCAAGCAGAGTGAATGGCTGGGTGATATATATATAGAATATTTACAATATATCTGTGATTCATTGATTTACATAAATGTAAAATTAATAAAAGCAATATTGTGAATATTGCTATGACTTTTTATTTGTTATTTGTTTAAGTTTTCTAAAGTCAGGGTGATTACATGTTTTGCTATCCTTGTCTTGCAAAACCAATTAAAAAAAAACTGATATAAACATAATATTATCAAAAATCATTAGTATTACCCAGCATTAGTATGAATTATGGAACGTACAAATAGTGTAAAGGGTGGAAAACCAAACCTGATGGAAGAAAAAAAAACCTTAAACTCAAAATTGGGTCTAAATGTTCATGTCTGCATGCAAAATAAAGTTAAATAAATAAAAATAATATAATACCAGGAATCTCTCTCCATGGCTGTGAAAAGGAAAGGAGAATGAAGTCATGCGTCAGAAAGAGAGGGGGGAGTTTTTGTGGGTTTAAGGTACTCTCTACTGAACTACAACCAGCTTTCCATTTAAAATATGAAATTAAAAAAACTTTTTTCAGAGTTGAAAAAAATCTGCATGTGGCCTGGTTATTGCAGCAGTACATTTATGACGAAAGCTGATTTCAGTGCAGTGTCAAAGGTGAACTTCAACCAACTCTGGCAGGAGGGTGCATCCTCCCCATAGTCGAGCAGTCATCAAACAGTTAAAGATGTGGTATATTACAAGCAATACAATACACGGCAGCATGATGCCACAAATGTGGATGGGGGAAAACATTAGACGCAGAATGAATCTCAAATGACTCCATATTACAGGAGTAATGCCATGTGAATGGCATCTGGTAATGGCTGGTCTAGTATCACTGATGCTGTAGATAAATGTTCCAGGTCTGGAACCATATTTCCAAACAGAAATACAGATATTCAATTTTTAGAGTAATCAGAATGAAGGCCTGTTCACACCAAGATTAACATTCAGTGCAAAAATTTGGTGTAATAAAACATTTGAACATTTTCAGTTGCACTGAGAAAGAAAACTGGCCAACCAATAAGATTTGTACTTTTGGTCACATGCCCAGAGCTGCTGCTGTTAAACAAAACCATGACTGGTGGCATTTTGCTAAATGACAATAAATAGCAGATGAAGACTCTGGAAACGGACTCTCATCATTGTACTCTTGTATCTGGTGTATCTTCGCTTTGTGTCTCAGAGTAACCAGAGTACTTCTGCTTTTCAAAAATTGGTCTAAACAGACAAATCGCATGCGAAAATCCGAACATATTTTCCTGCTGAACACTGTTGGTGTGAACAGAACTTGATAGGCCAGTCGAAAAGATGAATATTACAGAGTCTAATTGAGTTATTTCAGAATCATCAGAATCAGTCATTTAGGACAGATATGTAAATATAAAATATCAATAACAATGAAGTGTTGTAGCATTCACAGTCAGCAGGGGGAGCATTCAAATGGAGGCTGCGTGCACTGATGACAACATTTTGCCCCAAACTAAAACAAAAAGAAACATTCACATGTTGCGCTCATGGGAAACCACAGCGTAAACTCAAAGGGAGGAAATTGTGCAAGACAGTAAAAACGAAAGTAGGGCAAGACTAAATATGTGTTCTAGGATTAAAGAAAACTTTCTCTTTAACTTTCCACGTTGTTAAGAAAATGCTATTTTGAACTTGAAAAGAGAAAAAAAACCCAAGTTCAAGTATTATCTGGGTCTGTATCTTTGTCTGCTGGTGAACATGTACGAGGATTGATTTATAATAGAAAACAGACTCAAGGAGGAGGATATTACAGACGACTGGGTGGCCAACAGATAAGTGGGTCTATTAGTTCAAAGCTCCATTTACAAATCACACAAGACAGACATCTCACAGTTGCTATAAAATTTTGGGGGTTAGCTAGGAATGTAATGATACATTGATATGGATTGATGCAACAAACAAATGAGAGACTAACAATATGATAAAACGCATTAAAAAAATCAAAATGGGGATACTAGACATGCACATTTTAGAAGAATAAAAGACTTTCTTGACTGTTGTCAGTGCGTATATCTCATTGCACAAGCCAATGATGACCTGTCATTAGATGACAGACGAACTCCTATGCAACTTGTTCCAATGGAACTACAGTATTTGCAATTTTCAAATCATAATGTTATTGTGGTGTCAGAAAATATTGCATTGCTGACTAAAAGAATAAAAATCAAATATATTGATGAAACGCCTAAATTACACCCCTAGATCAGTGGTTCCCAATCCTGGTCCTGGAAAACCCCCAACACTGCACGTTTTTGGTGTCTCTCTTATCTGACACTCACATTTGAGGTCTTGGAGTCTTCACTAATGAGCTGATGAGTTGAATCAGGTGTGTTTGAATAGGGAGACATCTAAAATGTGCAGTGTTGGGGGTTCTCCAGGACCAGGATTGGGAAGCACTGCCCTAGATATAACATGCAGGGCAAAACAGTGTATTACAGACTCATTCTTATTGAATAATTGTCGCTGTTTTGATACAACGGACAAATGTAATCACAGTCTCTCTATGAAGAGACCTTGAGCTCAAGTCTCTATGGAGTATCTCTATGAATTGTGGAATGCCTTGTTTAAGCTCTTCATCCAATCACACGTGACTTCCAGAAATAAATTATGTGTAATGGATGGACTGCCTCTTTGTGTTATAATGCTCTCATTGTTCACAGCACACTAACTATTCACAGAAAAAAAATAATAGATGAAAAAAAGAGAATCAGGCTTTGGGAACTGAAATTAGATAATAATGTAATATGCTCAGTTGTAACCATAGTGGAAATGAGCACTTCCACACTGAAGTTGGGTTTTCAAAGGAGCAGAGAAATGTTCATTAGAGTAAACATGTGAGTTCAGATAAACACAGAAAGTTTTGACATGCTAATAGAGAACAATCAAAAACTCTCAAGGTAAAGACATCAAAGAAAAAAAGAAACCAGCATATAATTTCATCCAGATTCCTTTTGTCTGCTTGAGAAAAGCTTTTAGATGGGTTAAAAAATAAAACAATTACAAACATCTGTAACACCTACACTACAATGACATGAAGGTCACAGAATGTGGTAACATATTGGCTCTGTTCTAAAACCAAGAATGTGGCAATATATAGATGCACCGATGTATTGGCCAATAATTCGTATCGGCCGATAAAAGCAATTTATTTCACTATTGGCCATCGGCCGATGATATCCTTTTCAATCAAAAGGTGGCAGAAAAATGTGTCAGATTGCAACTCATACTATGTGTGAAGAAAATCTCTCTGTTGAATTTAGGGCTGTCAATAAAAATAGCAACATTAAAGCAGGCTCTATTTAACCCTCTGAATCACTCGTAGTTCAAGCCAGGGCTGGCAGATCCGCAGTTTTTCTCTGCACTTTAATAAGTTATAGCGCAAAATAAACATGAATGAACATCAGAAGGTATGTTGAAAGAAACAGTATAGCTTACCAAAATGTATCATGTCTAACGCAATCGCTCAATCAGTGTTTCAACCACGAAAAGATGCCAATAAAACAGATTGTGAACAATGTGTCACTTAACATCATTAGTTATATAGCTAACTAATGTCATTAGTTAGCTATAAAACAACACTAAAGAGGAGCTTTTTTACTTATAATTATATATGTATGTTGGAATAAATCTGGCATGAAGACAGGTATTTATGAAGACAAATGATTTCAATTTTTATTTGAGTGTAATTGTGATATCTGAAAATAAATAGCAGTTGAATATAATAGCTCTGTTGTTAATTTTAACCTTTAATATTATAGTAATGTGCCAAATGATAGGGCTCCCTCTGTAGCTAACAGCATCATTTAGGAGAGATTTTTTTCCTTAAGAAAACCAAACTATTGGTATCAGCATCTAATTCTGAATAATCGGTATCGGCAGAGAAATTCAGTATTGGTGCACCTCTAAATATAAGGCATCACAGATGCACTCCCGATGCAACAGCTGTTTGAAAATATAGGAAGATTAGACACCTCATTTTGGTCGAATTCTGTATCTTTTGTGGAGAAGTCAATCTCACAATTTATTGCCATGAGCCCAGTGGACAATTTTATTCAATATTTCTGTGATACATATTTTTATGCTTGTTAAGAGTAGGTACATGCAGGTCTTGAAGTAATTATGAGATTAAAAAATTTTCATGTCCTTGTAGAACTCGTAAAACTTGTAAACCCTGAATCTTCTGAGAGCTACGACTTGTACCACCGGACCACTGCAACGTCATGAGAAAACATTCGGCAGTAACATGCAGTTATTTTGTAATACTTCTTTTTAATAATTAACATAACTGACTTTTGCCAATGTCTTATTCTAATGTCCTGCTAAACAAACTTTAACTTTGTTAATAATGCATTTGCATAACAAGCGTTACTTGCTGTATTGTAGTTTTGTCTATTGATTTCTTAAAACTACACAGATTCCTTTTAATAGTGTTGCCACAGAAATGCATAATTCCAAGTCTCAAAAAGTAGAACATCCTGCGTTGCATCTAGTGATTATAGTCACTTACAGTATAAGGGTTTCATTTCAGATAGGGTGCTCCCTAAGACAGCAGCCTATGCAGGCAGTATACAACAAAGATATCTCACTGGGTTTTGGAAGAGAGCCATTCTTGTAAATTGTTTTGTTGTTTTACTTAACAGAACTTTTTCAGTCTTTGATTGACTGAATAGCAGTTTATAATGTCATGCACAAACCAGTGACCTTCAGTCTGATTAACATACTAAGATTGGCACTGTTCATCATGAGGGGGGTCAAATTCAGGGACCAGAAAAGGAGGGAAGGAAATGAGAGAAAAAAGCATGATAAAGGGGTGTCGGGTCTGAAACCAGTGTGGCAAACCTGAAAGTGGCATTTGGAGCTGAGGTTAGGTGAGGTAAGGTGGTTTACCTGTGCCACACCTGTGACAGTAATAGCTACCCCCTCCGCTGTCTCTACATCCTCACACTTGGGTTGCAGGGTCATAATCTCAAGGGTTATCCTGTGGAAAACGCAAAAAAAGGGAAACAAACCAAAAAAGTTGGCTATGATCTACGGGAAGAATGTCAAGCGGTGTGAAAACAGGAAAGAAGGTGGGATTAAAGAAATACGTGAAGGTAAACAAAACAAAAATGAATCTATAGGGTGAAAATACGAAGACACACCATTTGGTCGGCACAAATCAGGTGTTTTGACCGTGGGCTGTAATGGCATCCTCTAGATTCAGATTCCCAGAACCTTAAAGATTATTTCCCAACCCACAATATTCCCGGAAGCCCATCTGATACGTTCGTCATCCATTACAGACCCAACAGTCAAAACAGGCTGACGGGAGACATCAGTTACATGAGCCATGAGCGTTGCGTAGCCAAACTCCAGACAAGGATAGTGAGAGATGACTGGCTCTCCTTTACTGCAGAGGAAGACCAACACAAGAGTGTGGAAGAGAGCGTGAGAGCAGGTGTATGTGTGTAACGTGGGAAATGGAACCAGGCCACCGCCCTTCACATCCTGAGCACTTCAAATTGTTCTCTGTCTCATTTGGTTGGCTTGTTTCATTCAGTGTGATTACCTGAGCGACCCCTGTCACATCCAAGGGGACACCCTCCGATGTTTCGATATTCTCACAGCGACAGAGGATGGTCATTATCTCCAGAGAGAGTCTATGTGGGGTAGATGGGGGGTGGAGGGGAGGGGGAGAGAGGATGAGGAGGGTGGGAAGGAGGGAAGGCAGCACAATATTATCAGTGTGTTAACATATGTGAAAGGGGAGGACGGAGGTCAGGGTTCAAGGTTAGGGAGGATGGGTGCTGGTGTTGATTGCAGTTGAATCCAGACCCAGACCATCAGGGAGCCGCTGTCTGCTGCATATGGAGAGACCTTTCATATCATGTCATTTATCTTCGAAATCTCATGACTGACTCTGTCTGAATGGATGTCTTATTTAGTATATCCATAATGCTTTGCCTTTGCATTACCTGTTGGCATTCACAACCCTAGATTACTCCTTTAAACATCTATGACAATGCAATTTCCATTTCTGATAAGGTGTTTATGCTACAGGTGGATTTGGACAAAAGGCTGCACCAAAAAAAGGATTATTCTTACATTTTAAATAGATCTTAGTATAATTTTAACAGATTACAATGCATTACAATATAAAAATTGTGTGTAGGTCAATTGCATGTCATATTCTCTCTGTAGGCTACAAATTCAAATCAAGATGATAACTGTTATTTATGCTTTGCCTTTGCATTACCTGTTGGCATTCACAACCCTAGATTACTCCTTTAAACATCTATGACAATGCAATTTCCATTTCTGATAAGGTGTTTACAGGTGGATTTGGACAAAAGGCTGCACCAAAAAAAGGATTATTCTTACATTTTAAATAGATCTTAGTATAATTTTAACAGATTACAATGCATTACAATATAAAAATTGTGTGTAGGTCAATTGCATGTCATATTCTCTCTGTAGGCTACAAATTCAAATCAAGATGATAACTGTTATTAAATTAAGATCTGGAATACACTACAAATCTGAACAGATTTTAAATCACTAGGCTTCATACACTTGCCGACTTTGTAAATGGTAACAAAGAAACACTGGGTATCATACACTAAACCAGTGGTTCTCAACCTTTTTAACTCAAAGGTCCCTCATTGTCCAACACAATATTCAAAGGCTCCCTATAAAATGAACAGAATTATAATATATAAAGCAAATATAATCGATTATTAAAAGAAACTTGGGTTGTGTCGATATAAGTAAATTAACCACAATTCATTTTGTGATTACAGAAGTTTCAAGAATAAAATACAGCAGCTGTTGAGGGACAAAAAGATATATAATTTCAGTTTAAATCTAGATGGCATGTTTGTTTGTTTTTAGCATTTTAAGTTAGATTGTTTTAATATATTAATAATAATACATTTATTAAAATAATTTTAAGTCATCCCTGGTTGAGAACCACTAAACGACTGAGGATCTCACACACTACCAGACTTAAAGGGGTCATATGATGCAATTTAAATTTTTCCTTTCTCTTTGGAGTGTTACAAGCTCTTGGTGCATAAACAAGATCTGTAAAGTAAAGATCTGTAAAGAGTCAACCACGCCTACCTAAAACGGCTCGTTCTGTGTGACAAAAGTCGGGTTGTGTATTCCAGCTGTATTTTTGCGATAAAAACTTTAAAATTTTAAATAATACACAAAGCAAATAATATGACAAAGATCCAATTCTAATCACTGGAGCTGTCACTCACTGAAGGTTTATAGTGTTTCACACAGTGTTTAAGACCTGCAGCTCAGCACAAACTAACTGACTTACTGGGTGGAAACAGGGTCCCAGATGGCATTCTAGTGGATTGTTGGGCCAATATAGCTCAACCCTAATATAGCCCAAACCCATTTAACACAGGACAGTTCACAGTCAAAAGACCATAGTCTAGGATTCAGCCTATATCTACAAAGTTAATTATGTACCATCTACCAATATAGTTGTTGTGAGCAGCGAGTATGGACTGCTCATCAACGACCCTTTTCTGTATAATTTTTTTGTCTCTTTTAAAAAGAGTAGCTCTTTAATTGGACTGAAATTAAACAGGGCGTGTCTGAATGGATATGCAGTAGGATCCTAAACTGAATGTTTAATTTCAGCCCTTGTGCTGCAGCAGGCACTACAGGCTCTCTCTATCTTTTCAAATTAGATCGATGTAGCTTTTAGAGCTGCCAGCAAACTAGATTACTACGTTCTTTATCAAGGAAAGGGGGATGGTATTAAGTCACGCTGAGCACAGCAAAAACAATGTAGACGAATGGCAAATTAAAAGACTGGCTCTGACTTTTGTCAACTAGCAGTGGCTCCTCTACAGACTATAATCAGGGCAAATGTATGGGCAAAAGTCGGGTTGTGTATTCCAGCTGTATTTTTGCGATAAAAACTTTAAAATTTTAAATAATACACAAAGCAAATAATATGACAAAGATCCAATTCTAATCACTGGAGCTGTCACTCACTGAAGGTTTATAGTGTTTCACACAGTGTTTAAGACCTGCAGCTCAGCACAAACTAACTGACTTACTGGGTGGAAACAGGGTCCCAGATGGCATTCTAGTGGATTGTTGGGCCAATATAGCTCAACCCTAATATAGCCCAAACCCATTTAACACAGGACAGTTCACAGTCAAAAGACCATAGTCTAGGATTCAGCCTATATCTACAAAGTTAATTATGTACCATCTACCAATATAGTTGTTGTGAGCAGCGAGTATGGACTGCTCATCAACGACCCTTTTCTGTATAATTTTTTTGTCTCTTTTAAAAAGAGTAGCTCTTTAATTGGACTGAAATTAAACAGGGCGTGTCTGAATGGATATGCAGTAGGATCCTAAACTGAATGTTTAATTTCAGCCCTTGTGCTGCAGCAGGCACTACAGGCTCTCTCTATCTTTTCAAATTAGATCGATGTAGCTTTTAGAGCTGCCAGCAAACTAGATTACTACGTTCTTTATCAAGGAAAGGGGGATGGTAAGAGATATCCCACCCAGCCTTGCTTTATTTCTAAGCTATGCACTCAGCTGAACAACTGTTGTAACCACCGTTTACAACACAACCCATATTTACAGTTCTTTTTTACTTTTAATCCCTCTAGAAATAGCTGAAGTTGAGTCGTTTCATCTTCGTATTGACTCGAACAATAAAAAGGATGAAATGCACAATTTCGTTTTAGCTGTAACATTTAAACTCATAGCTGCATTTCTGCAATAGCACACATCCACGTGTTGTAACATGACTCTCTGATAGAGGACTGAGATAAACTTCCTGCTTGTGTTCCCATCAATGGATGGCGGTCAGTTTTGGTAAATCAAATAAACTATGTTAGTGAACTTCCCAATTGACATAGCATTTCACCATCTTCCATTTTAATGTATAAAAGCATCTTCAGTGGTGAACAGGGATAGTGGTGAGTTATTCTCAGAGACATCTCTTGATCAAGAACCAAATCCTTCCGCTGTGCAGACATGGAAGTGTAATAAAAGTCTTCTGATCCGTATTTCCACAGATTTGATTTATCATAATAATCTTATTATCCCCAGCAGTGAGATACCAGAAACAGATCAGATGATCAGACACACACGGGTGAGTCCAGCGCTTAAAGGCAGGTTAGCTCAGCAAACACTTAAAGAAATGAACAGGAGAGGAACATCAGAGAACAGGCAGACTGGTTATTATAGATTGCACATGCATAACTATCTCAATAAGGATTAAAGAAGGAAACAAGAAATGGAAATAAATCATACACTTCAGAATGATAAACAGTTCTCTTATTTCATACATATGACTAATGTCATACTCAACTCTGGCCCTCAAGAAGTCACTGACTTTGTGCGAAAGGTGGGATTCAGCTTACGGCACTTCTCATTCATTCCTATGGTATCCGTAAATGCGATTGAGTGTCGCACAACACTGACTGAAAATCAATGACATCAAGGCTGTAATGTGATTGGTTATTAAGGCACACGTGATCCAAGTTGACCGTTACGCTTTCTCCAATAGTAAGTAATACAGACCCTCTCATCTCCCAATAGTAAGACAAGAGTAAGACTGCCAGTAACAATAGTAGAAAGTTACTGGCAGGTGAGTTTGATTAAGGTTGGCGGTAAACTCTGCAGGAAAGTGGACCTCGAGGGCCAGAGTTGAGAACCCCTGTTCCAACAGCTACGAGTACTGTGTACCCCACACAATAAACAATGCTCATACTGAATGACACACAGTTTATGCTTTCTACACTGCACTTAACATCAAATTATCATCTTTTTAAAGCTCGCTTTTAGAGAAACTTAATTTGAGGAAAAATTTAAATGTCAAGCATTGACAGAAAACGTTTTATTCTTACAGTTATGGTCCAAATAATGTCTATTCAGGACAAATTGGATAGTCAGTAATAAATAAGTCTGATGTTAAGGAGTGAGACAAGCCATTGTTTAAACAGCAAT